TATAATATATTAATTGGTCAAGCGAACCACGAAATTAGTGAATTTAGTGATAAGTATATTAATAAAGATAATAAAGTTTTACTTTTTAACAAATAAAATAAAAATTAGGTACTCTTTACTAACAAGTTGTTTTAATTATTAACATAATTTTATTACTTTGGCCTTGTTGTAAAATTGACACTTTTATGATTGCCAAAAAGGTGGATTATTTGCATGGAAATATAAGAGTACGCTATTTGTAAATTATTTATTTAGAGCTATAGACAAATACATAAAATGAATCATGTTGTTCTATCAGTGTCCTGAAATGTGTTTTCGACGTTCTTGTAATTCAGATCTTCAGAATCACATCAAATAAAACCGAAAGCAGAAGATGCACTTCTCCCATCTCGACTTGATTTACCAACCTTGATCATAAATACATAAATAAAACTTAGAACCCGATTGTGATCAAATGTCGCTCATTTTAAAATTAAGTGTCCTCAATTTCTTTTCTGACTTTTTTAAACCCTGTTTCAAAGTTGATAATACCCAACTTTATTTTTTTACAATACACTAATACATATAATAAACAATCTGTATGTAAATTAGTTGAAAATAATTACCTAAATGACATTTGGATTAAGTAAATAAAACGTTAAGCTTTCTATTGAAGCAAAGGGGATGTTAAACCAACGTATACATTCAAAGCTGAGAATTAAAGAAACAAATTTTGAAAAAATAAATTTTCTTATAATTTTGTTCTTTGAAAAAAACGTATTTTTGAAAGTTTGTAATTAGAAGTAAAACAAATTGGTAAACCTTGTGACAAATTATTTTAGAAAGCTGTTTTAGTTGTGTTAGTGAATCACAAATGTCTGATATCTGTCGTAATATCTGATGTTGAATGTTAACTGAAAAAATGTGTAAGTAATTTTTTTATAATTTCAAAACTTTTCTTAGCTATTTAGTACTATTGTGAGATTTCCTCTTGTGGTATGCCTAGTGATAACGTTTCGGTATTTCGCCATCTTTAGTTTTAGGTGATTTCGGTTAAGTTTTACTTACGAGGTCGTGGATAGCCCTGTGTAGGTATTGTTGTATGTCGGTTTGATGAATTAAGTTGTTTTTATTGTTCTATGCGTTCTTTTTGTTCTTCGGTTCTTTTCTTTTTTTAATTTGTGTAACGTTTTAAATGGAGTTCGTGAGTTATTGTTATTTTGTATATTTATAAGTGTTTTTTTTGTGTAGAATGTGTATCGTTAATATAATTCAGAGGTTTGGTGTTTGTCCATTTTTTTTTTTTTTTTTCTGTAGTACTTACACAGTTTGTATTGTTGATGGTTCGTGGTTTAGTATGAAGTGAGTCGTGTAATTCAATTTTCCGTCGTTGTATCTAAATGAATTGTTTGTTCTTTGTATCTGTCTTTTATTGTTTGTACTGTCAGCCCGATAAATTTGTCGTCTCCTCATTCGTAAGTTATTTATCCCGGTTTTTTTCCTATCTGGCCCATCTTGTCGATGTTTTGTCTTAGTAATTTTCCTATTGTATTTGTGGTTTTGATTGATGTTTTTATGCCTGTTTTTATGATTTGTTAAATAAGTTATTTGTACATTTCTTTCCCAATGGATTTGAATGTAGTCCATTTAGTGTCTGTTTTTGTGTCGTCGTTATTGTATTTTTTTTACTATTTTCAATTCATTTTCGTACTTGTCTTTGTTTAGTGGGATTGTGTTTAGTCTGTCTGACATGTTTTGCAATATTGCTATTTTGTGTCTGTATGGGTGGTTTGAGTCGTCCTGTATGAAGTTGACATTTGCTGTTGGTTTTCTGTTTATGTCAAATCTGTGAAAGTAAAGTCAAAAAATTAAATAAGGTTTTTAGTTGAAATAAAAAATCCAGTGTCACGAGCGGGATTCGAACCCACGACCTTCGGCTAGATACGCCACTGCTCTACCACTTGAGCTATTGTGACCTCGATCCACTCGGACACTAACTTCCCATCTCAACCCCACTTTTTTTTAATTTTCCTTCCTTTTTGCCATTTTTCAAATGTCGTGTAATCTTTTTGATTCTCGGCGACAAATGAAATGGCCACGGAGAGCTTCAGTGAATGTATACTTCATTTAAACTTATTAAATTCACTAGTTTTCGTGGTCCGATTGACCAATTAATATCTTTAAATTAATTAAGGTTTTTAGTTGAGATAAAAAAGTCAGTGTCACGAAGGCCGAGAATCAAATAGATTTCACGACATTTGAAAAATGGCAAATAGGAAGGAAAATTCAAAAGGTGGGGTTGAGATGGGAAGTTAGTGTCCCAATGGATCGAGAGGTCACGACAGCTCAAGTGGTAGAGCAACGTATCTAGCCGAAGATCGTGGGTTCGAATCCCGCTCGTGGCACTGGCTTTTTTATCTCAACCAAAACCTTAATTAATTGAAAAGTTTCTCTTAGTAATTTTCCTATTGTATTTGCGGTTTTGAGTGATGTTTTTATGCCAGTTTTTATGATTTGTTAAATAAGTTATTTGTCCGTCTCTTTCCCATTGGATGTGAATGTGGTCTATTTAGTGTCTGTTTTGTTTTTATGGACGTGTTTTGTTTATTACTTTGTTGATTGGTGTTTGTGTTGTTGTTGATTATTTTTAATTCATTTTCGTACTTGTTTAGAGGGATTGTTTTTAGTCTGCCTGACATTTGTTTAGTCTGCAATGCTGCCATGCGTCTATATGGGTGGTTTGAGTAGTCTTGTATGAACTTGTCTGTCGGTTTGCTGTATATGTTCAATCTGTTTTATTTTCAATTTGTTGTTCATGTTCAATTCTGTTTTTGTGAATGTTAAGTCTAGAAAGTTTACACTGTCATTTGTTTCTGCTTCTTATTTCTGCGGTGAATGTTATGTTTTTGTGTAGTTTGGCAGTATTTTATTTTTAGCAGTTGTTATTATTGATGTTTACTATTGCGGGTATGTCTTGTACGGACAGTATATGTGTGTGAGCTTATGTTTTGCCTTAATTTTGGGGAATTGTTTCTCTTCAAAATTGTATAAACATATTTCTGCGAGTATGTCTGAATTTAGATTACCCATTTCTAGTCCGTGTTTTGTTATCTCCGTTGAATTTAAAGTAGTTTTATTGTATACTATGTATGTAAATATAATTCTATTATATTTGTGAGGGTTTCGTATTCGTCACACTTTTTATGTGGTGTCTTCTTCTGTGTACTCGTTTATATACAGGGTGAATTGCTACTCGTGCTACAAACTTCTCCAGTAGATTCTTCACCCTAAAATGAACAAAAAAGTTCATATTGTCCATGGTCCGATTCTCAACCATTTCAGAGTAATTTCGCTTTTTATCGATTTTGAAAGATATCACGTCCTGGCGTCGGAAAATCGTGATATCTTTTAATCTAAACATTTCTCTTAAAATCTATAAGCACCGTTGAAATCCCCGTTAATTTTTAGAGAGAATCAAAATCATAATTCCATTGAAATTTTTTAATTTAATTTAATGCCCATTTAGTATGTAATGCTTAAGAAGTTTACAAACAGCTAGAAGGTCAAGGAAGAAAGACCCAAACGTTTTGCCACCTTCATCTTCTTATTGAAAAATTAACGGGGATTTCAACGGTGCTTATAGATTTTAAGAGAAATGTTTAGATTAAAAGATATCACGATTTTCCGACGCCAGGACGTGATATCTTTCAAAATCGATAAAAAGCGAAATTACTCTGAAATGGTTGAGAATCGGACCATGGTCAATATGAACTTTTTTGTTCATTTTAGGGTCAAGAATCTACTGGTGAAGTTTGTAGCACGAGTAGCAAGTCACTCTCAAACATTAGCAATCCTTGAACCACCATTTTTTCTCTTTTTGTCATCAACATCTTGGTCTCACAACCACTAAATAAGAAAATGACGAGTGCGTTGGAAGCGTTATTAAATCAGGTAGTTTTCCTCAAATTTGCTGCCTTCTGAGACTAAAATTAGAAACTCTGGATTACTTTATACACTTTCCGATTTACACAATTTTCCACTCTTTTTGTAGTTCTGGCTGAAATAAAACACAAAAAATTAGCCCAAACATTTTGCCACCGTCATCTTCTTATTGAAAAATTAACGGGAATTTCAACGGTGCTATTAGATTTTCAGAGAAATGTTTAGATTAAAAGATATCACGATTTTCCGACGCCAGGACGTGATATCTTTCAAAATCGATAAAAAGCGAAATTACTCTGAAATGGTTGAGAATCGGACCATGGACAATATGAACTTTTTTGTTCATTTTAGGGTGAAGAATCTACTGGAGAAGTTTGTAGCACGAGTAGCAATTCACCCTGTATAGTTTGTGGTTATTAATGGTGTTTACTGTACCATCTTAAATAAAGTCAGGACAAATGGTTACAGTTCACAGGTGAAAATAACGTTCTGTATAAAGACAATTCCATCGGGAAAAATATGAATCATATCACCAATGGATTCTCGGAACGTTACCAGGGTTTCTATCTAACGACCCCAGCGACACGAAGCTTATCTTCTTTTTTAACTATTCTGATATCACTAATATCCAGTCCAGACTTAATTTCCGTTATTTACCCGTTGCGTCTTATCAAAAGGAGCAACCTTGTTTATGTCATTGAAATTCATGGATATAGTAACACAGCTATAAATAAAAACATTGAAAATGCTAGGAAAAAAATTCCACTTTCGTTAAATTAAACTAGTGGAAATGGGTAAACTCATGAGCGCAGTATTGATCAAACTGGTGATAACATTAAATCAATCAGCAGAAATCAATGAAAAAATTTGATCCAATTTCATATAAAAACAAAGGTGCTTAGATGCAGACTTTCCTTCCTCAAGCATATTTTTTGATCATCTAACTGAGAATATGCATCCCTAAATTTATTATTTTGCTTATTAAAGAAGAATGTTTTTAATCGATTCTTTAATTCAAAAATTCTAGTAATTTTTTTCAGGATTTTTTTTTGTCGTACTATTTGATATTTATGTTTCAGGATGATGGTGAGGGAAAGGGGGAGGTGCGTGCGACAATTGTCGCTCGAGGGGCCGGTGAGAGGACCTTTGCGAAGACAAGCTTCTGAAGATCTTAGACCGGGTCCGTTGAAGATCGCCTGGGCGGCTGAACCTCAGCTACAAATCCAACAGCCGTCCAATAACGTGGAAATCGTGGCGAAGAAATGCGGCCAACCAAAACCTGCCGTGGTGAAACCTCCGAGGAGCCCTTTTTTACCCGATCAGAACACCGTGCTGTTCTCGAGGCAGCAGTTGACGGAAAGGCTGAGATCATCTTGGAAAAAGAAAAACGGGAGGCACAATCTTAACATTTTCCTAAACCAGAATCAGAGTGTGGACAGCGACACGGATCTGACCGATCCTAGGCCGAGAACACCGGACAGTTCCGATGACGAATTGTCCGATAAAGAACTTGCCGTTACTAGCAGGACCCCTGAGCCGACACTTCCTCCCCAGGCCGAAAGGGAAAAACTATGCGCTTCTGAAAGGAGGATGAATTTCAGGAACGCGGGAAGGCAGAAGGTCGTCGAATCCCTCTGTCCTACCCCAGAGCCGAGGGTTAAACCTCCTCTCCAGAGGATGATGTCTGCTCCGGTCCGAGCCCCGGTGAAAAAACTAGTCCGGGCTCCAAGCGTCGACAACCAGAGGGTTAAATGTGCTCCGTCGAAAAAGAAGCTGAAACCCCCGCCGAGGAGAAAGCCGAAGGAGGAAAACGGTGAGGAGGAAAAGACCCAACGAAAAGGAGTACGCCGTGGGGTTGAGCGAGGCGAAGTGATAACCATGGTGTCACTAGTTAGCCCTGCGGAAAGTGATTCTGACGAGCCGGTTTGTATGCATCTGCCACCAACACCGAACCCGACTCCTCCTCCACCTTCTCCGAAAGAAGAACCCAAACCGCCGCCTCCGCCTCCTCCGATTATTTGCCTTCGAAAGCCGTTAAAAGCAGGTAACCTCACATAAAAATACACGTGCATAATTTTTGAAAATGTATGCTTTTATTATCGTTCGGCAAACTATTATCACTTACTACTATTAAATTATAGTTCTATTAAATAAATCCATGTGATATCATACAGCAGGCATTCAGATACATCAATTTAGCAAAATGAAAAATATAAATTCATCTATAACTATTTATTATTATTCAATAATTATCATTATTCAATTATGGTTAAATGTCTGTTACATCTAATTCTAAGAAAATTCTAAACATTCATCAAATGCAGTGTAATGACATTCATACAACGTTACCTCCAATATGGTGCATTTTTGGACATAAGTTCCCACTCGGGTCGCAATGTCTTATTAACATTGAGGTTCTTTACCGGTCGCACCTAGCTGTCAGGCCTTATTTACACGTTTAGATTCTCAAGTTAGGTTAAGTTCAACTCACCTCCGCGCACGGAAATCTGCTTCCTCCGTGAGGTTCGGAGCCCACACATCCATAGACTAATCAACAGACATGCTGACTTCTCCCGCTTGCCCCTTCCGAGGAGGTGGGTTAAAGTTAGCACTTAACCAGTGCCGCGCGTAAATGGATACCCAAAAGGTGGTCGAAATGCATCACCAAGTCTCCCACGTACTCCCTAGATAGAGACGACAACTCTATCTCCCTGGGTGTAGGGGCTCCGCTAGTGACGAAACCTCCGTATACGGTCCAGCCGCGGTTTCGATTTTAGTGGAATCTCTAACCACCCACTAGAGGAGACCATGCCTATGGTAAAGGCAGCTCTGACGGCCGCACCAACAAGCACCCGCCCCCGTCCACCATTCCTCATGCATTTGAGGGACGCCGGCAGCGTAGTCATAGCTCCTCGCTGGCTATACGCTCTCGGCAATCCGATTCATCTGATTCCCACGAGGTCGGGAGGTAATGCGGAGGTCATGCGCAAATACTACAGACCACGGCCACGGATGAAACGCATCCTCTTCTCTAGGTATCCGCCAGAGGTCTCACCACTCAGCCACTGCGAGTCCTTACCCAATGCACCATCTGCTTAAATGAATTATCAAGTCACTTTTAAATACATGCTTATAGTTGTAGTGCAGTACATGTAGTAGTAGTAATTATGTAGTAGTAATAGATGAGGGTTTAGCTGTAGTTATGGGAGGCGTAGCTGTTGTAGCTTTTGTACTTTTGTCGCACTTGAGAGACTTGAATTAGTTAGCTTAGCGGACGATGGTCTGGATACAGGTGCTGCTGTTTTAACTTCCTTATTCACCTCTGTCTTTAGTGATAGGTTTGCAGCAACAGTACGGGCCACCTTAGGTTTGGCGGCAGCAGGGGCAGCGATTTTTGTCTGAGAGGCTTTTGTTGTTCCAGTAACAGATGTTTTAGTACTGGCAGATTTCACACCACCAGCTGGGCTTGTGGGTGTTTCTGATGTAGGTGTACTTGGTTTACTGGAAGGCTTTGGGTGTAGATGGTTTAGGAGCCACTGGTTTCGCAAAGGTTGTTGTCCTTTCTGGAGCTTTAGCAGTAGCTGCAGTTGGCTTTTTGTCTGCAAGCGTAGTTTTCGTTGGTCTTGCAGATGTTTTCGCTATGGTAGCTTTCTCTACTGCTGTTTTCACTTCCGGCTTCTTTGCACAACAGCAGTTGTTTTCTTTGCGGAAATCATGTCCGTAGTTTTTGACGGCTGGCTTATTTCCCAGAAGTACTTGCAGCAACTACTGCTACTGCACTTAAATTGTCTAGAACGTTGATCGTCAGTAAGATCTCTAAATAAAATTTTTCTTTGGATGGTAATTTAATATTTTCAAGATTGTGCTCGGCTCCCTTCATCGGCAAAGAGGCGAGGACCGTCTCTTTCACCGTGTTCAAAATTTGGACGAATTCAGCTGCGACATGACTTCTCATCAGTCTTTTCCAATTCTTATTTCGATATGTCCAAGGGTTCGAGCTTCCTTGTCCAGTGAAGCCATGGCGTCATCATTCATGTCATTTTGCGGAGGGGATTTTCACCGCTTCGGCCTAGGACCACGGCAATGACTTGAGCTAATTTTGTCCGGACGCTCCGAGCTTCTGCTTCAGAATCCAAGAGCTTTAGCTCTGATGTTTAGAGTAATCATCATATCTCCTGACCCATGTCCAGGCCGTTGAAATATCTTCACCACCGTTGGGCTGGTTTAACATGGTCGTGGAGCCAACGGACGGAAATTTTACCTCGCTCATCCCTTTTTCACACCCATTTGATTCCTTCTGACTTCCTTTTTCAGTTTGCGTGAAATTTGGACCGACCCTTTGCTATCCCTCAAGTTTTTAAAAGAAATTTTATAAATTCCAGAGAGCTCAGACATACCTATCGAAACAAATCCGTTCAATCATATTGTGTTTTTAATTAGAAAATTTTATTGAAGTTTGTTTAAAAATTTAATTTTGCTGTGATGCTTCGATAAATGCACCTGTTTATCTATTTATCTCATTCAGTGTAAATTTAACTCGTAATTACAACAATTTTCAAATTAGTAATTATAAATTCCTAATAAAGGGCATAACTGCATTCCTCGAAAGCTCAAGAGAAAAATTATTATTGGCCTTTACACTGATTTTAAATATAAAATTATTAATTATATCGTAAATAAATCATTTTTAACTTTTTCAAAAATTAATGACTGTTTACACGTCGAATATTTTCTTCTGTGATTGCCGAACGTTTTCATCAACTTAACTTTTAATCATCGTGTAAAAAAATCCATACAGGTCTATTCCTAATAACGTGAGAAGAAACAAGTGCTGAACTCTATTACTAGAACAATTTTTCCACATTATACAGAGGTCAATAACTTTCCACCGGCTTGAGGAAAGTTTCCACGACCACTAGAACTTCATGCACTGATTTCCGGGTATAAAAACAAAATGAGCTGAAACTTTTTCTTTTTAATTTTCTATGTAATAACAAGCCAAGTGATCAATGTTAATAGCACAAAATAAAAAATGAACAGTAAAGTATCGTAATTTAAATTAAAGCGTTTAATCTTCTTTTAATCAATTGTAATTAACGTGCAATTTTAGAATTTTTTATTATCCCTGATATATACCATCTGCTAAGAAGATTATGCGAGCAATTGGCACCTAACTCTTGAGGATCTTTACGAGGCCGTTGGCCTTAAGGGCCGTGGACATACTAATGGAGCTGGGAGTAAAGCTGAACCGGGTGGAGGCAGAAAAGCTAAATCCCATCTTCACTCCTCCACTGTATGGTGGGATATGGCAAAATTAATGAAAAACAAGCACCCGACTTATGCATGTAATAAAGTACATTTAAAGTCCTAAAAGATGAATACAGAGATGCCAGACCCTTCTTGGCGTTGGGTGTGCTGTGTACATGGAGGGAGAAATCAAAAAATTGCCACTACCTCTAGTTTCGAGTATGTACACGGCTGAATCCATATTCCTCGCACTGTGCACTATTAAAAGTCAAAACCATAACTCATTATGGACCGACTCGCTCAGTGCCGTACAGAAGCATAGAAGAAGACCCTATATGCACCACCTAACAAATAAAATAAAAGAATAATTAAAAGAGATTGACACAGATGGGTAGAAGGTCATGTTGGTATGGGTTTCCGGTCACAAGGGATAGACGGGAACGAAGAAGCAGTCAGAGCGGTCAAAATACTGTACGCCCAGCTGATTTAAGGCTATTAGCTTCAAATGTAAAAGGATAACGGAGAAACCGCTGAGCCTGGAAAATATAAATAATCTTGACAAATGGTGGCTGGATAAGAAAGACTTAGGTTTGTGGTATACGAAAAATCGTTCGAAAACGGAAAAATTCATAGGAAATAATGCACGGGCATCTTCTGGTAGGAATGCGACCGCATAGGTGCCTGTTTTAAAAGGAAGAGTAAAGGTCGACCACCTTTTCAATTATAGTATTCTCGAATTTTATAGACCACAATATGTCATATCGTCGGACATGTGCATTCTTAGGGTACGCAGCAACAGATTGCTTTCCCGTTACACTGGGTAAGGGATTTTTATATATGTTTTGCGTTTATCTTAATTTATTCCAATGAATGTATTTATTAGCGTGAAAGGAAGAGGTTGTTTAACCCGGCCCCGAGGAATATCGAATACTCTCGGGGAGTGAAGTGATCAAACCTCTGTTTGTATCGGGTGGCGATGGGTTACCTGTATCGTAGGCATATCGAGTACTATCATCGCCGGGCGTGCTACTCTGACGCACTCAGTCGTAGACCCGTTTCTGACCGCGTTCTCCCTGGTTGGGTGCCGTGATTGGGTGTTCCTGGGTTGGGTGCCTGAACTCGCAAAGAGATCCTGGCGTCCTGCTCGGTGTCACCTTGCAGTAGCACGCCGGAGTTCCGAATGCTTACATATGGTGTACGTATAAAAGAAGAGATTCGTTAGATGTGGATGTAGATGTAATATTCGAGGTGTAATATACTGCGCCCTTTAAGAGCTATAGTATCCCCCGTTCTCTGCCTAAAGCACATCTGTGAGTCCTAGTTCATCAAGAAACTTTTTTAATAGGCCCGGTTTCAGTGGTTGAAGCTCTTCTATGGTCCTCCTGCGGGCAAGTGTAGCACTGCAGTTTGTTAGTAGATGTGTCGGTGTTTTCTCAGACTCTTTGCAGAATCTGCATGTGCCGTCTTGGATTATTCCAATCTTCTTTAGCTTGCAGTGTCCTGTTAAGATTCCTATTAGGATTCGCAGTTTGTTCCTGCTTCCTTTGATACATTCTGTAATTCCTTTTCTTTCGAAATTTGTAAAGAGATTCCTGGATTGCCTGTGTCTAATGAGTGAATTCCATTGTTCCTTCATTTTCTTTTTGTCCTTCTGTCTGAGATACTCATTGATAGTGTGGGTACCTGTGCAACAGAAGGGTTCGGGTCCTGTCAGCGGTGTAGCAGTTCCTTGCCTTGCAAGGGTGTCCGCTTTCTCGTTGCCTTCTACTCGCATGTGTCCTGGGACCCAGCTGAGGC